TCTACATCTAACCTATCTATATATCTATCTGTATCTATATTAAGCTAAATATGAGTCCATACTCTAATTACCACATAGGTCCACATGGACCCATTACCCCATGGATCACTCTAGTCTTTCCCCCATGCTTACCTATAACCTCTTTCTCACCTGGTTCTCACCATCTTCCACCCATTTATTTATTTGTTCACCTGCACCTACCTGCCCCCCCCCTTTTTATGTCATACCCATTTACAACCAAAGCAATGCCTGTCACCTGCAACACACTTTGGAACACTGGTTTAGAGGAGGAACTCCTTTCTTAGGCTACTACCTAGCGACACAGTGAGTGCCCTGGGCCACCTCTCCTTTTCTTGGTCTGTTCTTTCATATCATGGCTCATCTTCTACTGGCAGCCACCATAGAGTTTGCTCAAGATCTATAACAGCTGCCACTGCCTTTCTGGGCCATAGAGGTGCTCTGAATATTTATTCAAGAAGCACTTGCCGAGAGCACGTACTACCTACCTAGGTTTGTACTAAAGATAGGGATATGGAAATTAATAGGGTTGTATCTCTAGAGCTCTGTGACTAATTGGGGCAGGGGAGGGCTTGACCCTTTTTTGCCTTTTTTTTTCAATGTCAGTTGTCTTCTCTAAGAGCCACCACCATGGGATCATGGGATACCTCGTGTTTCAGAGGAGAGAGGCTTCGTCTAGGCTGGGACACATGGGGAAGCTTCTCAAAGGAGGCAACTCTTTGGCTGAGTTCTGAAGAACTGATGAGTGCTTTTCATATGCAGCTATTGAGTGTCCTAGTATGGGCTGGGTGTTGAGGACAACATGGCGGTAGTGGTGGTGGTGGTGGCGAACCCAGATAAGGTCACTTGTCTCATGGAGACCCCAAGCAAGTGAGGGATTCAGGCATTTAGTAGCATAAGTGGCAGTTAATCAGGTGGGGTCGTGGTGTTTCAGCCCTGAGATTCCGCCTGCAAAGGTTTCCTTCAGTTCTCACATCACTGCATCCATTGGGCCCCTCTGGGAGGGCACTCAGTAAGATGCCAAAGGCCCTGGCTTGCCCAGTACTGGGTACCAATTCCTGTGCATTGCATCAAGCACACGGAGAGAGGAGGAAAGGAAGGTGCCAAGTGGAACAACATCCATTTGATCCTTTTTATATGTAAATGTGACTTTAAATAATATTGTGTAATGACCTGCATTTCGGTTAGGAAATATCTCTTGATGATTTATCTTTCTCTCTGCAATTATGACAGCCTAGTGATCTTGTTAATTAATGCCAAAGAGGGTTTTTCAGCACCTCATTAATGGTTTCCCTTTCAGGCCACAGAGGCTCTTGTGCACAGCCAGGGGCAGGGAAAGCCATTTTTTTGTGGGTGGAAACGGGTCTTTTGATCCCCCACCACCTTCTTTTCCTCTATTTTGCCTTATTTTTATAATCTATTTCCCCCTGTTGTGTCTCCTCTTCTTCCTCTTTATCCTGAGCCCTCTACTTCTCTCATTTTTCTTTTTTTTAAATTTCTTTCAAAATACAGTTGCTTCTTTTTGCTTTCATGTATCATTTTATTAAGTAGTTCAATTGTCATTAACTGTGTTTCTTCAGAGACCCTCTTTCTTCTGGAAGGGTTGTTTTATTTGACTGTTTAATTCAATATTTCCTATTCAACAAGTTCTGGTGCAGAATTTTCCATGTTCTAAGACATCAAGAAAGCAACAGTGAATCAGAGCGTGTCCTGCCTATAGGATCTAAGTTTTATCCCATAAAAATAACTAACACATAAACGAATGAAAGAAGGGTTCTGTGGTTCAGTTAATTTTGTTCATCCTGAAGGCCAAATCATGCCCCCTGTTGTTTTTGTAAATAAAGTTTTATTGGCACACAGCCATACCATTCACTTATGGACTGTCCATGGCTGCTCTGCTGCTTCAAAGGCAGAGTTGAGTAGTTGCCATAGAGACCATAAAGCCTAAAATATTTATTTACTACCTGGCCCTTTATGGAAAAAGTTTGCTAATCCCTGCTCTATCCCGTCATTGGAGATGCTGAATGCCCATGATACATTTAACAGTCATAAAAATTCTACAGTCAGAAAATTTAATTTTCTTCAATCCACTTTCTTCCCCAAACATATTTGATTATAGAACCTACCTTTTTGTGAATTCATTTACAGACATTTCTCCTGGGTGAAATGACTACCCTGCAAGGTTCTCTTTCTCTGCCTGATTTCAGTTTGGTCACCACTCTGGCCGTCTGTCTTCTGGCTGGTCTGTTCCCCGAAATGTCTAAACCCAGCTTCTTGCTCAGCCTCTGTGAAAAAGGTCCTATCACTCGTGCATGAGGGCAGGGACTCTCCTCCACTCCAGTGAAACACTGCTGCTCTTTCCAGGAGCAAAGATCTGTAGAGTCCAAGTCACCACTAACCGCAAAACAAGTTAGACTAGTTTTGTGTCCATGGGGTTTTCGCTCTTGCCTCATCTAACTTACCTTAAAGAAAACTCATTTTGATTTATGGTTCATTTTTTCTGAGGCATTGTTGAAGTTGAGATTAAACTGGTATGCCTTGAAGATCGGCCAGAACTGAAGAAAGGGTCATGATGGTGTTGAGAAGTCCCAGAAGATATAAATGTCCCCTAAGAGCCAGAGAGAACCCAGGGAAGCTATGGCAGAGGAGAGACCTTCCCATACTCTGGAAGTTAGGGGTCCCTAAACAGTGGGCTGTGGACTTTGAAGTTGGCCTTGGGTGGATTAGGAAAGAATATTCCAAGGCCCAACTGGGGAAGGGAGATCACCAGTTGGGGAGGTGACCCATCAGAGTGTACCTGGGCAGGGGGGAGGAGCTAAGCTGTGAGCTGACAGAGGCAGACACCCAACCAAGGAGTGGAAGATGCGTGAAGATTTAGATATCAGTAGTGCAAAAAGCACACGTACAGTCTCTCCCTCCAGAAAACTCAATGTAAACAAAGACCTGAACAATGAACCCTCACAGAATAAAAATGAGTGTTTGGGGGGTGAGAGGTGGGGGGATTATGGTCCAGGTGGTGTTACAGGCAAGGAGAGGGGCAGATACAAAACCCCAAGGCAAGAAAGGGCAGGAGGTGATTTAGAAGCTGTAAGAAACTCAAGGTGGACCTTCCAGCTTGAACATTTTCTGAACCTGACCTCGCTCTGGGTTAAGACCTCCCTGGTCATCCCCAAGCTAAACCCTTAGCTGGAGATTTTGAGCCACATGCATTTGTTTGAGCCAAAGCCTTTCACATGTAAGAAGAAGGTGCCCATTCCTTGTTGTGGGTCATGCTTAAAGCAAAACAGAAACCCGTGGAGCTGACCATCTAATACCATCAGGTTCTGCTAATGAGAGAAATGATTTCTGCCTATGTGTTTTAATTAAGAGACTATATTAGAAATAATATTGGAGTAATTAGCGTTAAACCACATCCATCAATGTTATACTGATCTTCGTCATGTTTAAATGGGATAATGGTGACTAATGGGGGGGAGGGAGGGGACACGGTATTATTATTTTTTTCTTTTAAGCCCAGTTAGATAAGCTTAAAAGTAGAGAAAACAAAGGTGTTAAATTCACTCTTGAACTTGTCAAAGGGATCTAGCAATTAATTTAAATAAGAAAGGAACTGAGTGGTAGCTTTGTACTTGGTGCTGTTGGTTGATCTTTTTCTCTTCATGTAATATCCTTGACTCTCATTGTTAGGGGCAAGCCACTGTATTCCAGGATTAAGGGACTGTTCTGACATTTGTAATCACTAATTATCTGGGAACTTTTCTGCCTAACATTCTCATTGGAACCAAGGCTTAAGACTAGAGCCTCGTTAATTACAATGACTTCTCTATAACAGGGATGAACATGAAATTTAAATACAATTCTCTTCTCAAAGGCACGCATGCTACTTGCTCCCATACAGAAATGTTCAGTGAATTGACTGAAACGTCAAAAGCAAGACCCTTATGGAATCCCGTAGCTATGTCTGACATGCTCTGGAAATTCTCCAGTGTAGCAGACAGAGGGCTCCAAGGCTAAAATTTAAATATTTTCCCTCGAGTTTAACTTCCATGGCTTGATTTCATAAAAAGCAAGTGTCATCATGGTTTTTTAGGTGATCATGATTGAAAGGGGAAATTCTCCCCCTGAGAGAGTCTCCCCAGATGGCTGTCTTTGACATTGCTATGTCTCCCTGTTGACCAGAAACCACAGAGACGGGTCCTCCTCATGTTAGGTCATTAATTGTTCTTCTGCAGGCCTACCCACGCTAAGCTGAGACCCGAGGCAATTAGGCAATTAAGTCAAGCACAAAACGATGCTCGTGCTCCAGTGAGCCACGGTTTTAGTTGACAGTGGCTTTGACTTGACTTGTCCAGATAATTGCTGCAAGACCTCCATGAGCCTCCTACAGAATGCGAGAGCTCCTTTAGAGAGTGTGTGATTGATTGATTTATTTGCTGGACAAAGCCACCACCTTCTTACAAAAAAGCGGACGCTGGATACTGGTGTTCTTTGTTTAAATCAAATACAACCTGTGTTAGTTCGGGTCCCCCTAGAAGCTGACCCTGAGACAAAAATCCAAATGAGATGGTTATCCTGAAAGTGATGCCAGGAAACATCGGTAGAGGGATGGGAAAGTATGATGACAAATTTATACCTTTGTGGGTAACGTGCTTACTCCTACAGGGGAAATCTGAGAACCACTGTAGAACTTTGCTCAGAGTCCCCACCAGGGGGAGAGGCACACACTCCCATTCGTCCTTGTTCAGGGCCTTAACTGGGGGCACTGTTTCTTTAGGAGAATGGGCTCCAGCTTGCAGGGAAAGCCCTCAGGCAAAGGGAGGCAAATGCTGGTCTGGGAAGTCTGGTGGCTGGTGCTTCAAAGAAAACTCCCACAGGGATATGGATTGGGGTACCAACCACACTTCCAGACTTCTCAAACCAAAAGACCTCTGTGTTTGTGGTTCTAGGTCTGACTCCACCTTTCTTTTACTCTCTGCTTTCAGGACAAATCTAGATGTTTGGACATGAACTTGATGGGTGCTCACCTTGTTATTCTCCTGGAGAAGGTAAGTCACTGGCCAACATGTATATAACTTTTCAGTCTATTTGCAAAGCTTAAGTTATTTGAGACACTCCAGGTAAAATAGCCCCACAATATATTATATTAATTTGATGACTCCTCTTACCAAAGCGACTCTGAAATGTTACCTATTTTTGCTCTCAGGTACCTTTCTTCTTATTATTATTTTAAAAAGAAAATACTTTAAACTTCAAAACGGAAAGATTCCACTGTGTTTGGTCTTTGGTTTGTATGCCTTTCAACAGCCTTTAGCCTAAGGTAATAGAATTCTGACCAGACTGTGTTCTTTGGTAGTCTACAAATGTAGCCAGGCCAAACCAAATCAATAAGTATTTATTTAACACTCAATATATATCATGATTACATAGGTAAATACTTCTAAACCACATACTGTGTTACTTTGCTCTAAGTCAACTTTTGTTCTTTGCCTGTGGTATTATTTGCAAATACAGCCAGTAAAGAAATGGAAAAAGAGCGAACAATGGGTTTGTGGGATGGGAAGCATAATTTCTTTCTTAGTATTTTGGCTCATGTAACATTCTTAGCAAACCCAAGTATATAGAAGTCAGGAATTATCACTAAAAATATTTACCATGAGGATTCTTTTCTCTTTCAATTATGACATCCTTTAAGAATACTTGAGAATATTAGATTTATCTAAATATGATGTGCACAGAAACTTAGGGCAATCTTTCGGCTCTATAAAATGAAATCCACATGTATAGATAAGTACTCAGAAGAAGGTTTTTAAGGGAGTAGTCCTTACATGTCATTCCCTTTAACTAGAACATCATTTATCTCATCTGTGGAGCCCCTCCTATAATGCTCTGTGCTCTGAGAGCTGTCACTAGCTACTCTGGACTGAATGAGTAGTTTTTCAAATTCCCTCTGCCATACCGTGTTATATTTATCTATTTTACTCCCTACATGGTGGATTTCTCAGAGCAGGGATTGTGTCTCATTCATTTCTAAATTCTAGGACATAATGTGTGATTAGCAAATGCTTGTTGAATTGACCTGAAGAAGAGACTTTCTTATTCTGATAAAGAGTTTGTACAAAACAAGCAAACAAACAAAACTATACTGAATGTCATAATTAGTGGCAAAATATTTAAAACTTTCCCTTGAGACTGGGAACCAAACAAGAATGCTGACTATCAATATCAAATGGGTACTAGGCTTATCAGGGGGATCACTTTATGAGCTATATAAATGTTTAATCACTATTTTGTATACCTGAAACTAATATAATATTGTATATCAAATGTAATTGAAGAAAAAAAAAACTTAAAAAGAATGCTCACTGTCATCACTTCTTTTTAATGTCACATTGGATGTCCCAGCCAGTTCAATAAGGGAAGGCAAAGAAATTTTGAAATGTAATAAGAAAGGAACAAAAAAAACCTATCATTGGCAGACAACATTATTGGGAAGTAGAAATCTAAGACTATATAAATAAACTGTAAGAACTAATAAGTGAATTTAGCAAGGTTGCTAAACAGAAAGTCAATTTCCAAAAATCAGTTGTATTTATACATCTGAGCAACAAATAATCAGGAAACTAAATTAATATAATAGGATACATTAGCAATGCACACACATTAAATATTTAGGAAAATATTTAACAAAAGATATGTAAGACTTTTACTCAGAAAACTATAAAAAATCATTGGAAGAAATTAAGGCATGTGGTCACATGCTTTCTGTGTTTGTTGAAGTACAGAGTACAGAGTGTATAAAGAATACAGGGTGGCTAGAGAGGAGATGTCAGAGTTAACAGGAGACCAGTTCATATAAGACCTTCTAGGCTGTTCTATTTATCTATTGCTGTGAAGCAAATCACCCTAAACTTTCTGGCTTAGAACAACATTTAATTGCTTGCAAACCTGCAGTTTGGATTGGGCTCAGCAAGGATGGTTCATTGCTGCTCTGTGGTGCATCAGCTGGAGAATTTCAAGATGGTCCCCAGGAATGGCTGATACGTTGGTGCTGGGTGTTGGCAGGAAGCTCAGAAAATGCTGTGAGCCTCTTTTGGCAGCTTGGATTTTCTCATAGAGTGGTGGCTGGGTTCCATGAGTGAGTGTACCAGGAAAACAAGATAGAAGTACATGGCATTTTTATGACCTAGCCTCAGATGTCACATCGTGTCACTTCCACCATACTCTATTAATGCAGGCAGCCACAAAGTGTCACCCAGTTTCAAGGGGAAGGGACACAGACTCCACCTCTATGAGAGAATAGCAATGTTCTAGAACAACATGTGGGACTGGAGGTGTTTTTGTGGCCACCTTAGAAAATAAAATCTGCCACACAGGCCATGGTAAGGTCTTTGGATTTTGTCTTCCATTATCGGGTTTTGAGCAGAGGAGTGATGTGACCTGACCTAGAACCTAGCATATTTTTGCCTTATCTTTTTACCATGTATTTTTTTTAAGATTTTTTTTTATTGGGGAATTGGGGGGATGGGAACAGTGCTGGGGATTTGGGGGAAGGGGAACAGACAAGTTGCTGTCGTTTTTTTGTTCTTCAGTTCAGTTGTGGGGGACGTCGCTTCACTGGCCCAAGTTGGCACCATCATTGCGCTCTTCCCGGGTGAGGCACATCAGTCGTCAGCTTCTAGATGGCCGCTCACTGCGGCTGCTGGCCGCTCACTGTGGCTACTGGCTGCTGGCTACACAAGGTAGCCCATGGCAACCCACTGCCACAGGGGCTGCAGCCTACGCCGTCGCTGGTGACTCACAACAGCCCAGCTCCAGGTTGAGCTGTTGTTCAGTATCTTAGCTGTAGAGGGCAGTGTCACTGGCCCTCATATGTGGGATCCGAACCGGGGCCCTCTGGCGTCCCAAGCCAGCTCTTAACCATCGTGCCACTCGGCCGGCCCTTTACCATGTATTTTGATATGGGTTTTGATACCACAGATATGATTTTATCCTGAGACTAAAACACATGGGGAATTGTATATATGGCTGTGACCCTATGGAAGTCAAGTGCCCAGCATATTATAGAAGATCATCAAATGCTAGGTTCTTTTAGAGTTTGGTACAATGATACCCAATTGGCAGACCTGGGCTAACCTAGGAGCTGTGGGCAGATCCACCCATGAGCCTCAGCAAATCTGTACACACAGGCACTGTGTGTGCCAGGGAAGGGGTAGAGGAGACCTGTTTTCTCAGGCTGGGGTGCTGGCTTCCTGAGAAGACCCAGACTGCCCGTCAATCACCTTAGTAGTTTAAAACCATGAACCATAATAGAAAAATTTACATCATGGAAATTGGCAGAAGCCTCGAGTTGGTATGTACCCCCTCCCCCACCAATGCTGGTTATTAAATATTGTCCGGCACATCACTGGACAGACAGATGATGAAGTCAAGCATTTTAACAGCTCCATTAAAAGGCAAAGAAACTATTTATATTACATATGAAGACTTTTTTGTGTGGTTTACACAGGCCTATATAACTTATGCACTTGAAGCTAGAGAAAAATCTCAATTTAGAATTTATATTTTGAGTTCCAAAGGAGTGGAATGACCACCATCCAATTTAATTAAAAAAGAATTTTATTGTTTTTGGATTCCATGAAAGAAAGGATTTTTTTAAAGTTGATTTTTGTTTTAAAGTTCCATAAGACTTTATTAATTTAATTAGTTCCTATCAATTTTTAAATAAGCAGTAGCTTAGATTAAATTTTCTCTCTCTCTCTTTTTTAACCCGACCTCCTCTGAGCATATTAATGGGTCTGGTCTATCATTTTGCAGATGGAGCAGTAGGGGTGATTGTGAATCAGGAGAAAGTTTTGGGCCAGGATTTTAAAGTGTTGTTTTTATTAGGATTGTGAAGTATTTCCATCAGGGTATTTATTATGGGAAAACAACATACGAACCAGGAAAAAGAATTTGGTTAGATGCAGGAATAGGGTATGTTTGTGGCAGCCATTCATCTAAGCCAGTTGTGCTGGGTGTCCTGTACAGAAACTTGATTTAAAGGTGGGAGTGGTGTCAGCAAGCGGCGCATCTGCAGGATGGCCTGAGTTCACATCCGTGTGCATGTGGGCATGGGACAGCTGGGGTAGGACATGGATTGTGCAGTGTGACCAGAAGAGGACCAAGTTAAAAGATAAAGGACCCACAGTTCACATAGTTCTTTTAAGGGAGGATTACTAACTTCAGATCGGGATTAAAACCACAATCCAGAGGAACTAGGAAAAAGAATAGATAGGTAACAAGAATGGAGTTAAATTCTGAGGAATGCGAATCCAAGTGTCATAAAGCCTTTTTCCGACTGCTTTCTTCCACATTCTAGTCCCATGCATTGCTTTCCAAAAACAAGGATTAGCAATCACATAATTTTGCAGCTTAATGGTGGCACACTCTACCCACTCTTGGAAATGCACAGTGGCCATTGATGTATTTAAAGCTCTGACAAATCCTGTTAATAAAGCCATTTAAGTTTACTTAACTGACTCCTTTGAGCAAGGAACACATTTTTGGCATCACAGTGTACACATCCTGCAGAATCATGGTCCCCAGATCAGTCTGGGACATGGTATGGCAGAAAGAGCTTGAATTTTAGTCAAATACTCCCAGACCCAAATTCTGGAGACAAGGTCTGTGAATAGACTAACCAACCTTCAGGACACCCTGGCCATGAATTCTCCCAGGGTGGAAGCAAGTGTGATTCTGAAAGAGGGGCTGACCTCACCGGGGAACCAGGTGAACTACAGGCTCTCTGCAAGGTCTCCTGCCTGGAGTGAGGGCAATGAAGATCCAGAGAAGTTAGCAGAGTCTAATCACCTGACATTTCCTTCTGCTTCTCTTGCTCACTTGGGTTCACACTTGATTTGATCATTTCACAATCTCGAGCCTCATTTTCCTCAAGAGGAATTAAGTTTGTCAGTGACAGGAGTTCAGAGGCTCAGAAACATTGGGGGCAGGTAATGAATGCTAAGTCTACACAGAGAATCAACCTCCTGGGTTTGTTAAAGGCAGT